GTCCTGCGCCCAAAACTTTCCCAGATAATGAAAGGATCCCTTAATACTAGCAATTCTTTTGGTGATCTCGGCCGTTCGAGCTCCCATTGCGTGGATCTGCCCTCCAAGCACACGCATAGTAGGAGCAATTCCGCCTTGAAAGAAACTGGGCTCCGTGACCCGCAGCAGCCTGGTCGCAAAAGCAAGACCTGGCCCGACCAGAGAGACGACGGTGTGCTGTTTAGCTGCGTTATGTGCCCATCCCCCCTCAGTAAAGCCTCATCCAACTTCATGTTTGAAAAAAAAAAAACATGAGCAGAGCTGGTTTCTGTTAGACCCGCAACAATAGTACAAGCTTGTGGTCCCCCACCGACGTGCAATTTCGTGAGATCACCTGCGTACTTGGTTAAACTCAAGTCCACCTCTACCCCAGTGATGGGGCATTCAACACGAAAAAGCTCCTCGCCGTTTAGGTTATCTCTAAGTTCCTCGCTCCACTCCTGAACAGGAATATCATAGGCTCTGCAAAAACTTGCCACTGCGTACGGGTCGCCCATCAAAGCCCCGCAGCGAGGACGAACAATCAACGTCCTATCTCGCGCTGGCAAACAGATCGTAGCGGCTCGAAACCTATCTTCACCAAATTTCTGATCTTCGAGATCCAATAGCAGACGATTTGCCTCCTCCAGAAGCCTCCAGGAAGTAGAAGGAAATGCATTGCTCAAGTCCTTGTTGGACCAACACGCACTGTAACCACATACTCTCAAACGGTGCAGCATAAGTCGAACTACTAACATGGCCCCTTCTTTTCGTCGTCCCCGAGCAAAACCGTAATCGCAGGGTCCCAAGGGAGAAGGTTTGTGCCTAGCCATAGCCCCAGCCAGCCACGCCTTCCCAAGGGGTTCCAAAAGATGAATGACGCGTTTCCCTCGAGGACCAGCTGTTGCATTCTTGGGGAGCCCACAACCGAAACTGCGGTTCCACATACGCGGGAACCTTCCAGCAAATCTAATACAAGTTAATCCTTTTACAAGAAATTCTCTAGCACGCGCAGCGTCGAGGTCAACAGCTGCTCCAACGCCAAGCCTATCTTTGCGCAATCCAAAAAGAGAGTCTGCAATAATATTCCACACCTCGGCAGGCACCGTCCAGGGTGGGCACGCACGTCGTTTGGGGACTCTTCTCAGATATGCCGTAATTGCTGCTAGATCCACCTCCGCCTCCACCGAATACGCCCCTGGGTACCCCTCCTTCCTCTCCTCGTCGCGGTTGGCTTCCTCATCCTCCTTCACTTCCACCACCTCCATACCGCCACAGGGCCCTTTGAGTTCCCAAACTGACAACCATTCAGCAGCTGTTGGAAACTCTCCTTGAAGATGCCTAAAAGAACGGCCCCGTGGTCCGCGCCCACGGCAGGAAAGAACTCGCACGAGTCGATAGACTTCCTTGAAATCGCGTCTGCGCCAGGCTTGCTCGAGTTCCTCTGTGACCTCCGCCTTCCGCCTCCTCATCTGCCGCCTCCTCAACTTGGCACACTGCTTGCTAGCCTCCTTAAGCTCATTCTTGATAGGATCAGGAAGGAGGAGGAGGAGGAAGTGGAAGAGGAGGAGGTGGCATCTTGGGAGCCGGTGGGGGCACTTGTGGGGCCTCGTGGGAGCTTCCTGGGAGCCTCTTGGGGGCATATTGACAGCCTCTTTGGCCTCTTGGGGGTGGCCTTTTGGGGCTTCTGGGGTGCCTCTTTGGCTGTCTTAGGATATTCCTGGCCCGTCTGGCGCCGTCGGGAGCTGTCTTGGGGGCCTCTCTGGGCCGACTAGAGGCCCTTGTGGGGTGTTCGAGGGCCGTTTTGGAGGCCATCTTGGGCGTCTTGGAAGCCTCTTGGGCCGTCTTGGGGCCCTCTTGGGGCCGTCTTGGGGGCCTCTTGGGCCGTTCTGGGGCCATCTTGGAGACCGTAAGGGCGTAAGGGCCATTTTGCGGCGCTCTTTGGGGCCTCATGCCCAAACCTTTGAAACACCCACAGAAAACTAATGGTGTTGGCCTCTTCGGGCTTTCCCGGAAGATCTCTTGGAGGCCTCTTGGGCCGTCTTGGAGGCCCCTAGCGGGCCTCTTGGGCCGTCTGGTCGTGGGCCGTCCCAGAGCGAATAAGATAGCAGCGAGGGCCCCCATCCCTCGGGGCAGCGTGGCCGGGAGCGCGAAGGTGAGTGCTTTCCGCCTCTCGGCCGTTGCCCCCCCCTGCTCGGCGTTGCGGTCTTTGCTAAAGGCATTGCCCCCGGGCTGCGACCATTCCGCGGTCAGGCAGCGATGCGCCCCCCTGCGCGCCCCCCCCTCGCTCAAGGAGTCAGGGGGGCGCCACAGGCGGTGCGAAGGCAGCGAGCCTAGGCCTCGCACCCACATAGACGGCAATCATATAGCCGTCTTCCTTCCCCAACGCCGTGGCAGCGATCGGAGACGCATCCCCTAAGCGCCTTTACCTTTTTGCACCTCCTCCCCCTCCCCTTCGTGAGATTGCCCGCGAGCCCCCCCTCTTGTCGGCGGCGAGCGAGGGGGGAAATGAGAAAAAGAAGGCCTTCTCAGAAGGCGGCGGGACTTCTCAGAAGCCCCCGCGCCTTCTGAGAGGTTTTTTTCTGTCTTCGGGGAAGGCTTAGAGAACTTCTCCGAAGGCCGTGGGACTTCCGAGCCTTCTGAGAAGGCCTTCTCCTTCTCCTTTGCCCCCCTCGCCCGCCGCCGATCTTGGCGAGACCGGACACCGAGGGGGTGTTCGCGGCGCGAGCCCCGCCGCCCCCCCGCGGGCCGCGGGCCAGGCGCAGGCGCCGTTGCCGCCGACGCAGGCCCGCAGCGCATCGCCCGTGGCGGTCGTGCCGCTCTGGAGGCTCGCCAGAAGAGGGGGGGATAGGTTGAGGAGGAGGAGGGGGAGGAGGAGGAGGGGGAGGAGCAGGAGGAGGAGGAGGAGGAGGAGGAGGAGGAGGAGGAGGAGGCGGAGGAGGAGGAGGAGGAGGAGGAGGAAGCGGGGAGGAGGAGGAAGCGGGGAGGAGGAAGAACAGGAGGAGGAGGAGGAGGAGGAGGAGGAGGAGGAGGAGGAAGAGGAGGAGGAGCGGGAGGAGGAGGAGGATGAGGAGGAGGAGGTTGTCCGGGGGCCTCCCCCAGGGCAGCGCAGGGATTCTCCCCCTGCGTTCGCTGCCTTGGGGTGGGACTGGCTGTCCGTCTTCCCTGTCGTGTCGTCTTTCGTCGTCGTCGTCGTCGTCGCCGTCGTGTCGTCGGCCCCGGGGTCCGTTTCCCTGGTTTTTGCCCGTGTCCCGTGGGTGTGCGGGTGGCCATGCCCGTTCGGCTCTCCCCCTTCGTGGGGGCGGCTTCCGTTCGGGCGAGGCTCCCGCCTGCCTGTGGGGCGCGGCCTCTTCCCCGTCTGGCACGGGCGGGCTCGACCGCCGCCCGCGCGGGGGGGGCGCCGCGGCCGCGCCGCGCGGCCGTGTGCGTCTTCCGCGGGTGCGCGATTTGGGCTGAAGTGCGCTGTGGAAAAAAAAGAGGAGGAGGTCGATAGAAACCCACCCTACCAAGTCGATGGGCGATTTTTGTAGTTCGTTTTTCGATGGCGTGCTGTGGTACCAGTTTTTGCGTGCCCTGGTCGCGAGTCTGGTCTTGAGTCGTTTTGTAGCGAAATGAGTTTTTGTTTCCAAAAGGCGGTCCTGCGAACCCCCGAACGAGCGTGGGGCTGAAGGGTCGGGGAGGGCAGGGGCGGGGGATGGGGGGCAGAGGGGGTGGGGGGTGGCCGAGTAGGAGGAGGATGAGGAGGAGGTGGTGGAGGAGGAGGAGGAGGAGATGAGATGATATGAGATGAGAACAATTGCGAAACGATCCGAAACATAAGCCACCTTCTGAGCACTGCGGGCAGCATGACCGAGGAGCAGGAGACCGCCGACTCCAGCAAATATTCTGCAAGCATTTCACAAAATGCGCCAGGCGAGTGCCAAGATGTGAATTCATACCAAAACGAAGTGAAGAAGATTCGATCAGGCACACCGCGCAACCATTTGCCGCGTACAGCTCTTCCAACCCGACAATAAAGCGGATCGCCTACCCGACAGACAGTCTCGCTCCATAGCCCCGACACCAGCAAACAAACATATGTACACCTTGCCTTGACCGATGCACCGTTTAGAAGTGGCAAGACAACGTTTTCGGCTGAACACCACGACCAGCGTGACCAACAACTAGAAAGAAAACCGATACCAACACGAATTCTGCAAACAAATCACTTTATCGCCCCAAACCACGACCGTGATAAAACAAAAAGCTAGGCTGAAACGAGAGGACCGCCTCCCCACCACGACAGTAGCAATATGAAACTCATGTCCCTCTTGCTTTGATTTAAACGCCACGAACGTTTGACCAATTAGCAAAACTAACGCCGATGCCACCACGAAGTCTGCAAACAAGTCACCACATCGCCAAACCGCGACCGTGGAAAAGCAGGGAGGAGGAGGAGGAGGAGGAGGAGGAGGAGGAGGAGGAGGAGGAGGAGGAGAAAGAGGAGGAGGCGGAGGAAGAGGAGGAGGAGGAAGAGGCGGAGGCGGAGGACGTGGAATATCAACCTAGGGAGGAACATGGGGAGAAGGAAAGCTGAGGAGGAGAGCCGGAGGAGCAGGAGCGGGGCCAGGAACCCGACGAGCGGGAGGAGCAGAGGGGGAGCGGAGGAGGAGGAGGAGGAGCAGGAGGAAGAGGAGGAGGAGGAGGAGGAGGAGGAGGAGGAGGAGGAGGAGGAGGAGGAGGAGGAGGAGGGGTCCGTAGCAATTTTGGCTCAAGGTCACATGCGGAGTCTGTCCCCTGCACTCGCCCCTCGCGCCACGCTGCGCGGCGCGCCCAGGGGGGGCTGGCTTTGCGCCCGCGGCCGCCGCCGGCTGTCTGCCATGCCAGCTGGCCGCCGGCCGGGGGCGGACGCGGGGGGCTGCCCACCCTCATGGCCTCAGGGCGGCCCGATGTTGGGGGCTGCCCACTCACCCTCAGGGCGGCCTTCTTTGCGGGCGCGAGAGATGGCCGAGCTGGGCGCCGCAGCGGCCAGGTGCGCTGCGCGCCGCAGACGCCTGGCTGCGACCGAGGCGGCTGCGCGGCGAGTCGCGCAAAAGTGCGACACCCAAGGGGGCGCCAAACACGGCACCTAGCACGACAGGTACGCCACCAAGTACGGCATCGCGTGCGATAGGTACGACAAGCACCGCAGGTACGACATTAAGTACGGCGACGAGCTCTCCGAGTACGACGGCGGGAGAGACATTTCCGCCTACCCCCAGAACTATTTTGGCTTCCAGGGCCGCGACGGGCATCAGGGCTACGATAGCTGCCAAGAGTTGACATTCGGCACGTGGAACACTTCAAATTGGCAGCCGACGACTCCGATTCGAACCCCAGGGGCTCCCACGAGAGCGTGCCTTCGGGGCCAGCTGACGTGCTCCTCGACTACTTCCTGGCCGCTGGGGGGCCTGCGCCTCCCCTGCCCCCACAGGCGCATCAACCCGAGGTGGACCTGTGCGTGAACCCTTCAAAAAACAATTGGGTACCCCCCCATCGAGGCGGCACCTCGCACCTAGCCCTCGGGGCTACGTCGCCAAGGACCCCCGCGTCGTCGCCGCGGCTGGACTCGCCGTCGTCGCCACGTCTGGACTCCATCCGTTGCCCCCCGAAGCTACTACAGCTGGTGGCAGGGCCTCCAGGATACTTCCGGGGAGCACAAGTTGAGCTACGAGGGCCGCCCGAAGAGCTATGATAACCACAACCTGAGTTACGAGAATCGCGAGCTGAGCTACAAGAGCCGCAAGCATGTCTACATACGAGGACCACCAGCTGAGCTACGAGAGCCACAAGCTGAGCGAGCCGCACGCATGGCTACGAAGACCACCGGCTGAGCTACGAGGGTCACCAGCTGAGCTACGAGGGCCAGGGGCAGAGCTATGAGGACCACCAGCTGAGCTACGAGGGCCACCAGCTCAGCTACGAGGGCCAGGAGCAGAGCTATGAGGATCACCAGGTGAGCTACAGGAACCAGCAGCTGAGCTACCAGGGCCACGAGCAGAGCTTCGAGAGCAATTCGCAGGGCCACGAGGCCCAGGTGGACATGGAAAGCTACGAGGGCCACACATTGAGCCTCGAGGGCAAAGAGCAGAGCTACTACAGCCACCAGAAGATCGACCAGGGCCCCCAGCGGACCTTCGAGGGCCGCATGCTGAGCCAGGAGGACAGCAGGCTGAGCTACGAGAGCCATCATAAAAGCTACGGGGGCCATAAGCTGAGCTACGGCGACCACAGGCACAGCTACGAGAGCCACCAGAAAAAATCCAGGGCCCTCCTGCTTAGCTACGAGTGCCACTAGCAGAGCTACGAGGGCCACAGGCTGAGTTACGGAGGGCAGCCGCGTACGTCTCGTGGGGCTGAGGGCAAGGACGGCCCTCAACGGCCTGGATGGGGTCCTGGGCCCCTTTGACGCACAAGCCGAGCGATGGGCATACCGAAGTGGAGCAACCCAGATTTGCGTTAGGACAGTCTGGGGATCGACGGCAAAAGTTCGGAGCAAAGGCTCGGCGAGATGTACCAAGATCGGGCCCAGTATTCCAGACATTCCAACCTGTTGCCGAAAGGACGCGTTCGAGCGGATGTACGACCTCGCATCAGCGGAGGGCAAGCCGGGTTCGACGCGCTGTCCGCCCAGACGGCGTAGAGTATGACACGACCGTGACCTACATCGGCGAGGCCGGCCTGCCTGAAACCGGACAAGGCTAGGGAGAGGAGGAGGACCACTCCCGCGCTACGTACAAGAGGCGCCGCCTCCAGCGTTACATGAGCTCGCCCGAGGCTAATTCCGTTCTTCCTCCGTCGGTTCCGATCTCCCCCTCCTGACGGCGCGGTATGAGAAGGACACGTACAATGCGCCATGAGCTGCATAGGCTTTCTTGGCCCTCGATTTTTCTCTTTCGATCGTTTAGATGCTTCCAGGCCCGACCGATTCGATGGCCACCGTCTGCACGCTGTTCCACCGCTGGCCATTTCCCCCCCTCCCCTCTCCCCCCCAGAACTCAGTGTATGCTGCGGTTCCTCTTCCCCCCTTCCCCCCTTCAGGGAACCATCCTCGATGGCGTCCGGGGATGCCAGGGGCGCGTCCGCCGCGCGCGCACGCGCTCGGCGCGCGCGGCGCAGTACGCTGCGGCTGGAATCGCTGCGAAGCGGTGCGAGAGAGGCGAGGAGGAGGGGGATGAGGATGAGGCCCCATGACGCCCGTGGACCTTGTCTCGCGCGCTGCCCCTCCTCAGTCGTCTCTCTCAACGCTCCTCCCCACTTTCCCCCCCCCCCGTGCTGAACTTCCCTCTCCATCTCCCCCCACTCTACCCCCGCCACCCCTTCTCACCATCCCCTTCTTCCCTCCGGATGCCGATGCTTACGAGCAGGCTGACCTCCCTGCTCCTCCCGATCTCCCCCCCCTCTCTCCCCCCTCGTGCCGCTCCTACATAACACGTCGGCATCGGCGAGCTCCATGCCTGGGCCGCTGGCGCTGCGCGTCTTCGCACGGTAGGTCTGCGCCCCGTTGACGCGGCGGCGGCCCCATCGCGGGCGGTCAAGGTTGAACGCCGTCAGTGGCCTAGAATCCGCCGGTGTCGGGCGATCTGCGATATCGGAGATCCGCGATCGTTCAAAGGTTGAGCGACCCTTTCGGTGCCAAAAGCCAATGCTTGCGACATCGCGCAGCGAACCAGCCGTACGCCCCTCATGCGTCGACGGGTCGGCTTCGGACGCGGGCGATGGCTACTCGTACATAAAACGTTGCTCAAACGGCTTCGCCCTCCAGGGATCGAAGGGCGGACCTCTCGCCTGTGGCGGCTGCTGGCGGCAGGTCCGCGGAAGAAACCCAAACATCGCTTGGACGAACAAAGGCGTGATGTTCTGATGGGGAGCGTCGGGGAGGAAGGGAGGAGGAGGAGGAGGAGGTGGAGGAGGAGGAGGAGGAGGAGGAAGAGGACGACGAAACGAAAGTTCGAGCAAGATATTACGCTTCGTTTTTCATCTCGACCGGTGCAGCCATGGCCCTGGAGAGGCGGCGCAGGATCGGCATGCGGAGAAGGACGAGTGGGAGCAGGAGAGTGTGGAGCACGATGCGTAGGTGGAGGCCGCGGAGGAGGAGGAGGAGGATGAGGATGAAAACGTGGAAGATGGAAGAGGATGGATGACGATGACGATAGAGGAGAAGGATCGAATATTGAGCAGGATGAGGAGAAGGATTGCAGGTTGAGGAGGAGGAGGAGGAGGAGGAGGAGGAGGAGGAGGAGGAGGGGGAGGAACGGGAAGAGGAGGAGGAGGAGGCGAAGAAGGAGAAGAAGGAGGTCGAGGAGGAGGAGGAGGAGGAAGAGGAGGAAGAGGAAGAGGAGAAGGACTGCAGGGAAGGGGGGGCACGGCGCCTGTCGCGGGTCGTGCGCCAGGGCCTGCTCGGGAAGCGCCAGGGCCTGCTCGGGAAGCCCGCGGAATGCCACGGGGCGCCCCGAGCGCTATGTCGCGAAGGCCGCCGACGGTGGGGCGCCTCTTGGCGGGGGGCCCCTGCCCCCCGCCTGCCCTTCCGACCTCCCCCCTCCCCCCCTTTGTGCCCCTGCTTTCCCCCTCCCGCCCGCCCCCCCCCCTACTCTCCTTCCGCTCCCGAAGAGGCGGCAGTGTTTTGCATATTACTCCTCCCCTCAACGGAGACTCCAGTGGGTAACCCCCCGAGGTTGAAATCGCCGTTTCCCGTTTTCTCGGGGAGTGCATTCAATCTCCGCGAGATCTTTTGTCGCCGTTTTTTCCGGGGTTCCTCGGCGTTCTTAGGGGCGCGTGATGCGGACCGCGGCTTGCTCGCGGGCCTCCTTTGGGCGCGTGGCCTCATTGGGGGCGCCGCCGAAGGCCCCAGTGTCACGGTTCACATATGATGTCCCCTGGCAGATTTGGGCACGCGCGCACACGCTTTTTGCGTCGGCGGCTGGGCAGAGGGTGACTGCTCCGGCGGGTGGGCAACAGGGGACACGCTGCATGCAAATTCAGGCCGCCATGCACGGTGGAGGAGGAGGAGCCCCGGCGCGACAGGAAGAGAGGAGGCCGGGCCCACTCAATGGCGCCGACTGCGGCTGGGGGAGCGCCGAGGGGGGGAACCAGCGCCGGCACTGAGCTGCACTGAGCTGCACTGAGCTGAAGCTGATGGGAACGCAGCCCAGCAGACTGGGCGGCGGGTGGGGGAGCAACGCGAGCGAACCAGAGACTCGACCCAGCGAACGGAGGTGCGGTCCAGTGGAAGAGAACGCGCCGATACCTAGGGGCCTACGAGGCGCGGCAGAACAAGGGGCGGGAAAGCGCCGAGACCAGGGGGGCCAACGAGGCGCAGGGCGTGGAGGCAGGCGGCGACGACCTGGCGAAGCAGGCGCGAGCCGGGGGCGGGACGAAGCAGGAGGGGCCACGCCAAATGGGGGAGCGGCGGGCCCAGGGGAGCGGGCAGGGCGAGCGCCGAGACCAAAGGGCCAAGCGGCGCAGGCCAACGGCGGGGCAAGGTGCCACGAGGCGGCAGCGGCCAGAGCACCAGCGGCCGGTGACTGGAAGGGTGGCCTGAGAACCAGGCAGAGGGGCAAGACACTGCCAGCGCGGCGAGCGTCGCCTGGGGCCGGCGTAGGCACGGCGGGGGCCCGCAGGGTGCCACAGGCAGCGCCTGTACAAAACCTGCAGAAGGCCGGCGAACCCCAGGCCGAGGCTGGGGGGCTGGAGCGGCGGAGCAGGGCACCCACAAGGCGAGGAGGAGTGGAGAGCCGGGACGCCACGAGTGGGCGGCAAGCCCAGCCCACTGTGACAAGGCCCGCCCCGGGGCTGGGCGACCAAGGCAGCAGCGGGGCGAACAAGGTCGCCCAGGGCGCTGGCGAGAGGCCCCCGCAGGGGGCGCGGGGGAGAGAAGCGCCGGTGCGCAGTGAGGCACCGCAGGCCTGGGCTGCGGAGCAGGCCGACGGAAGCGGGAGGAAGCAGGCCCCGAGCGGGAGCTGGAGGCCTGTGGGGGGGGCACCGAATAGGTGCATGGACGCGCGCACACACGCAGGCAGGCAGGCAGACAGGCAGGCAGGCAGGCAGGCAGGCAGGCAGGCAGGCAGGCAGGCAGGCAGGCAGGCAGGCAGGCAGGCCAGACAGACAGACAGACAGACAGACAGACAGACAGACAGACAGACAGACAGACAGACAGACAGACAGACAGACAGACAGACAGACAGACAGACACACACACACACCACACACACACACACACATCACATGATTCGTGGGCTCATGGGGAGCTCCACCGAAAGCCTCAATAGCAGGGCTCATATGCGTCCCAAGTCCAGTGTGTGCAGACCCCTCGGCCCCTCACACGGTGCGTGGCTTGACAGGGAGATTCAGGGAGTTTCGCCGAAGGCCCTTGTGGCAGGGTTCGCATGCGTCCCAGTAATTGTTTTGGCTTGCGCTCTGCTCGTCATTTTTTTGCTTGGGTTGGTTTGTATAAAGGGCGAGTCACGTCGCCGTTTCTCGGTGACACCCGGCAAGTGTGCAGGAATCAAATGTTCTTCGCTGGTGTCTCTGAGCGGATGGGTTTGGTGAAAATCAAGGGGAGTGATTTGGGAATCTTCCCCCAAGGAAAGATACCTCTTGTTTTTTATACCTGCCCTCTTGTTTTTAGTACCTGCCGTCTTGCTTTCCCTCGTCCGTTTCCTCCTCGTCCTCCTCGTCCTCCTCCTCCTCCTCCTCCTCCTTCTCCTCCTCCTCCTCCTCCTCCTCCTCCTCCCCTCCTCTCCCTGGAGGAACAATGCTTGTCCATGGAAAGAGTTATGCCCGCGAAGACTTTCACGGCCTGAGTGTGATTCCCTCGCCCCTCGGCCCCTCCAGCCGCCATCGCGCCCTCCACCAATCGTGCCCTACTATTACGTCGGGCCTGTCCCTCTACAGGAGGAATATTCCAAAATAACAGAAAATAGTCAGGGGACGAGTTTTTGTTTGAATATTTTCTTTGACTATTTTTTGAAGTAGTTTTGGATCGTCAAGACGCTACAGTTAGGTTGATTCGTGGCGTTGCAGTTCTGAGAATGGTGTGGTATCTTTTACGATTTTCACACGGTTGTCCCCCAACGGGGCACTTCTCTCTGTGGAAATGAACCTTTTCAGGGGCCTATTAAGAATAAGCTTGGAGGGAGGGTGTCGTCGAACATCGTTGATGAGTCTTGAGTTTACACTGGTCCTCCTCCTCCTCCTCGTCATCCCCCTTCTCCCCATATACCACCCCTCCCTCCCTTCACCACCCCCTCCCCCCCCGCTTACCTCCCTTCATCCCGGCTTCTCCCTCCACTTCCGACTTACTCACGCAGTGCCACCCCGCCCCATCTTTCTCAATCTCAATTCGCCCCAACGTTCTTCTTTCCTCTCCCCGCTGCCTATTGACTCTCTTGTGCCGCTTCCTCGGAGATGCCACAGTCAATTATGCTGAGTACGCAGGCTTCCTCGAGTGCTTGGAGCATGCGTCCGAACTCCCAGCTCTTCGACTTGTTTTATAGTTTGATTCGCCTCATGCCGCAAGGCAAGTCCAAGTAATTCGATGTGCTTGGAGCCCTCGCTCAGGATACTCTACGAATAAGCGTTGGGAATGGTGACGCCCCTTCGGGTCCAACGCTGTGCCTTTGAGGCGAGAGTGCAACACATCCATCGCGAGTACAACACAGATGTTGCCGAAATCCGCGATTAAGTGATGGACC